GTAAGCTGCGTCAATCTGAATTATGTTAGTGATACCAAACAGGAATACCAATACTAGTCAGCTTAGCGGGTACACATGCGCATTACCCTTGGGTTGCCACCGGCTTCCTTGCAGACAATCACGAGTGCCTCGGTAGCTTCAAGCAGGGTCCTGGCGTGCTCCAGGTAGGCAAGCTGGGTGTTGGGAAGGCTCTGCGATCGGGAAGCCGCTCCGACAACCTGGCCAACAACACCAGGCAGATAGGCATCAAGGCTAAGCACCGCATGACCAAGACGTTCGGCCTCGGAACGCGCGGCGCGGCCAAGCTGAGGTGCCGTCTCGAGCACGGCACGAACGCTGTGGGCTAATTGCTGCAACGATGTCCAGAAGGAAGTAGATATAAAGGAAAGAGGTAGTAACAGCCGCAGGTGTATTGGAAGAGTACATATATCCATCCATAAATATATATATACATATATATAATATACAGACAGACAGGAATGCATGCATACATAAATACGTGAATAGTAATAAAGAGAAATAGATAAAAATAATTATTATAGACAGATAGAACGGGATAAAGAAAGACAGACAAATAGATAGATACAGAAGTGAAAAATAAAAACGGATAGATAGATAGATAGATAGATAGATAGATAGATATGCTGAGCCCCCATTTATATAAATGGCTGATGTAGGGAAGGTAATCGTCAGACATGGAGTCTCAGGGCCATTCACTTTTCCTCTAATTTACAATATATCCTTGATCCAGGCGTCTCCTTTTTGCTTGTCTTGTTGCGCCCCTGTTTACTTAGAGTTAAGCAAAACTATCAAGAGGGTAGGAAATGGGTAGAGGGAATAGGATAGAACGAGGAGTGATAGCAGAACCGAAAGTTGGTCAAGGGATTGACTTCACTTGTCTCTTTGACGAATTGTATCTTAGTGCTAAGAATGGCAAGACTCACTGATAATGCCGACTCCGATGCCGGAGAAACGCCTGTGAGTGTACCAAGTCCACGGTCCGACTCTGGAAATGATCATGCATACTCTGGACTCCGGAAAAAGTGCGTTCCTCTAGGTCATCCTACCAATACGACCAAGTTGTAAAAACAAAGTCAAACAACTTCTATACAGCGAAAGGACACCATCCTGGTCTTCATAACTTCGATTAAACTTTAGAAGTAGGATTGCCAAACAATGCACTACTTACAGCCGGACAAAGAATTCAATTGTGAGTCAATCATGCCATTTGACCGTTTTAAATTGTTGTAAACATTATGTTAACACTTCTGGATTTTGTGATTTTAAGAGACATTTCCATTCAGATAAGGTTAATGAGCTTCTTCACTAGGCCTCTTTGCATAAGTTAAATGAAACCTATGATATGGAAAGGAATAAGCTATCTTAGTTTATGGATAATAAGTCAAAGCTCCGATGTAATTTGGCCATGATTCTGACTCCGGAGGATTTTTACAAACTCCAGAGTGTGGCCGACAAATAATCTCTGACTTAATAACAAAAATGCATTACAAAAAATTGCCTGGGAATGTAATTATAAGACAACGTAGGTTAAAGCCAAACACGCCTAGCTAAAGGGGCTTCCAAGGCGACGACGAACGAAATAATATGGGGAATTTATCCTCGCTTTCCTAATCATGAAACTACTATGATTCTAAAAAAGGACTACACTTTTCTCTTTAAACTGACAGAAAGCTTCTAGAAGATATACTGGTAAAGATCAACAATATCTTCGACAAGTTCCCTCAGGAGACAAAACGGGAAACAGAGATGGAAATAATCCCTGGAATCTTGAGACATTATGAACCGACGCACATAGCTAGATTTACGAGGATACGAAAAATCCTAGAAAGTAATGAACAATTGGTCCTTCAAGGGAGAAAGAAGGAGCGAAAGTTGTAATGGACAGGAAACAGTATACTGAGAAAATGGAATGCATACTGCAAGACAAGATTACGTATCGTGTACTAAAGAAAGACACAACTATGAACATCAATCAAAGCTTACGGGACTTTTTAA